GGCGGCCTCCCCCCTCTGCCCGCCACTGCTGCGCTTTTGGTTTTAGCAAGTGGCGACTCTTGTCTCCCTCACTCTGAAAGAGCCCGTGACGGAAATACATGTTCCTACACATCGCTCAGTGGAGAGCGGTACTGTCACCGCGGTGTGAAACTTGGGCTGCTTTAACTTCAAGCTTGCCTGTGAGGGCTGTGCGGGAGGACCTGTGGCTGTCACTGCTTGCAGTATCTCTAGGGTCAGCAGTGTTCCTCAGTTCATTAGCAATCCCCTGTTTCTATGGATTTTGACAATATTCGGGGAAAAGGCTCGACTTAAAATCTTTTTGGATGGCTGAGCAAAATGTGCAGTAGTCTGGCGAGGAGTCATGGCAGTGGATCATACTGCTAGGTGAAAACGTTGCGATCAGCTATAGAGGAAGGAAATTAGGCGTTGCTGTACTGGGAGTATAATACAAAGTATTGCTGTGTCTGACTACAGAAAATATATCATAAATGAATCAGAAGATTTAATTGATATGCTGTAGGTAGCTGTATTTGTTCCATGATAGTTAAGGAAAACAGCGGTTGCAGCAGCTTTGCTTAAAAAGCAACCGTTCCCTAAAAGCTGTTTGATAGCATAAAGAGTGCTCCCCTCCCATCAGCAGGGGAACTCCCAAATCCTACTTTAATGCAAGTTTTTATAAGTGAAAAAATATTTTGCCAAAAACATGGCAATCTGATTAATAAAATACTTTGTGGATAGACTTATTTAGTAGATCACAATTACTATAGATAACAAGGAGTAGAAATATACTTAATGTTATATATTATTCAGTAAAAGGATTTTTGTCCACTTAGAGGATCTGCCCATTCTCTCTGTTTTACTCTGAAAATCAACTCTTACACCCTAAACTTTCTTCTTGGAGGGCATTTATTTGGTACCTTTTGCTGTCTGGGTTCTTACAGGTTGACTAGATGGATGTAAATTAACGTTGCGAGAATCACCAAAATATGTACTAAGAATCAGCTCACTGCAGTGCCTGAAGTTGCCATACAAAATCTGTGAATTGCATTTTTGGACCTTTCTCTTCGAGACCATGATGAAAATCTTTAAAACCAGAAAAGTTTGAGTTGGAAATACCA